AATATAAAAATTTCCTTTTTGACATAATCAAATTCTCCACATTATAAGCTTTGAAATGATGGGTCATTTACTGGAATCAACTTACTAATACAATACTGCCACATTTTTCTCCAGCTGAAATACAAGGAGAGCAGCGATAAGATTTGAATTATGAATTATAAACTGAGGGCCTAGAGATCTCCCAGGTTCACAGCATACACAGTGGCTATCACCAGTTTAGACTACTGAGCTAAGCTGCTCTCGCGTTCTATCACAGGCTAAAACTGCTCAGTACATTATGCCTCTCCCACTCATAATGATAATAAAGTTTGGTTGGTTAATCATGGACTGAATCTTCTCAGCAAACTTATACCACTACCACTTATCATAATAACAAATTTTGATTGGTTGAACATTAACTAAATCTTATCAGTATGTTTTTAGAATATGTCTGCTCATTTCCATAATACATTTTTGACTGTTTGATTTAGGGACTGAATCCGAGACTAGAGCATTCATGGCACTCTGTGTTGAGACAGTGAAGAAGTATGAAGTGCAGGACCTGCGAACACCTGTCTTCATTTTTGAGAGACTCTGCAACATAATCTTCCCTGTAAGAATTTCATAAAAATTATGTTTGTTTTATGTAATTGTATCATCAAGTATAATAAATACTCAGTATCTTAATTGTTTTTCTTTTATTGTTGTCATTGTTATTATTCATATTGTTTTTACTTGGCCCTTAGGAGGACAATGACATCGGTGAATTCTTCATGACGTTAGAGAAGGAACCACAACAAGAGGACTACCTCCAAGGTCGTATGCAGGGCAATCCTTACAGCTCCAATGAGGCAGACCTAGGCCCACTTATGAGAGATGTCAAGAACAAGATATGCAGAGGTAACCTCTCATTTCTTTTATAGTAGTGGATCTACTGTTAGAAATACACCAAAATGTTATTAAATGTTAGCCTCATGCTGTTTTATTCGTCTTCATATGATAGAAAGTATGTGTGTCTGGTTGTGAAGTTTTCATTTCATTTATTTTATCCAAAAAACATTAAAATAGGCAAACATAAGATAACCGAGAGCAAAAAACAACACTCATCTGGCCGGACAGGATTGCCAAAATTAAACTGAATCACTGTCTAGTGGCTCTTCGATGCCAATGAGAACATGAATTAAATTAACATAAAATATTCAAGTAAAATAAGCCAATCAATAAAATTTAAATTTAAAAATATATATGTACAAAATCATCGGTGAAATCGTTCAAAATACAATATACTGTTGTGATGCATCACAATCAGTCACATGGAGTAGATCTTTGCATACTCCATTCCAAAATGTTCAGTATTTATGTAGATCACAGCTCATAATGTCAGCCTTAACATTTTTTATGAATCATAAATCATCATGCTTCATTTTTCAGATTGTGAATTAGTGGCGCTTTTAGAAGATGACACTGGAATGGAGGTAAATATTATCAAATACTAGAATAATAGATTGTTATTGTAGGTGAGGTGGAGATGGCTGGGTTGTATGCAACTGTTGTATGCAAAATAGTTGCTAACAAACGCATACATACTGTACACACACACCATGTCATTGTACACTAGTACAATGACATGGCCCTGAGCATCTTACATTAGATGGATATGTGCACTATATAAAACTACACTATTATTATTATTATTAGTGCTGTACATATTCAGAACTTTCATTCACAATCTAGTCCAATACGGACCTTAAAAATGTGCACTATAATACTTTTATTTGAATTCTATGGCCACACTTTCTGAATTTGATTATTTCTATAATTATGTTTCAGTTATGGAGGATTACCATATTTTTATTCGAATAACTGTAAAAAGTTATCCTAAATTTTCTATCTTCAAGTCCTGTGGAAAATAAGTTTGAATATAATATTTACTTTGGGTATTAACACATTTTAATTGTCCTTGATTTGTCCCCTAGCTACTTGTAAACAACAAGATCATTAGCCTAGACTTGCCTGTCAAAGAAGTGTACAAACGGATATGGTGTCATGACAACGAGGTAGGCTTGTCATTTTTTTAATTGAATTTCTTACATTCCATACATAAATGTTGTGGTTACATTCGTGTGAGCCATGAGGACTTTGTACCATTAATTTGCATAATGCTACTATGGTTTTTTTTCAGGGTGAGCCAATGAGAATTGTGTACTACTGTATTAATATGTATTAGATGCTACTATGGTTATTTTTCAGGGTGAACCAATGAGGATTGTGTACCGTATGAGGGGTCTGCTTGGAGATGCTACAGAGGAGTTTATAGAAACACTAGACAGCAGTAAAGGTACATCCACTCGTATCTATCAAATAATATACTTAATTTATTGACGTAGTAATCAATTTGTTTCTGCATTATTATTTATTGGTTTTAATGCAACAAAAAGTTTTTAAATGTGTATAGAAAATGTATTAACATGTTACTTTATGTAAATATGTTATTAGATTTTAAATGTATACAAAATATTCACTGAAATCACATCATTTCACTATGTGAAATTACAATGTGTCATACTAAGCCAAACAAATTCTTGACAAACAAATTTTATCAAATATGACTATGTCTGTTTTTTGTGCAGATGAAGAAGCCGATGATGAAGAAATCTACAAGATGGCTAATGTGATGCATGAGTGTGAAGGGTTAGAGGTCATTCTCTCGAGGTAAGTCAAACCACTGTCTGTAGTATTAAATATATTTTTAATTTTATGTTTTTAGAATACTGTATATTCTTTTGATTATGTTTTATTGGTTTAGAATTAATTGGTGTTGTTCCTAGCTACAGTTTTTAGCCTGGTTTTTTTTTAAGTAGTTTGCTTCATTTGTTAGGCTTGCCTGGTAGCCCTGACCAGTGTAAAATTTTTACTCCTACACTTTTTTTTTATTTCTAGACTGGCATCTCTGACCGATCTGGTCCGTGGCCGACAGCTTCTCACAGTGATGTTGAAGCTCTTCAACTACTGTATCAAGGTAAAAGCCAACCGACAAAAGCTCATCCAGCCTAGGCTACAATCCATTAACATCATGCTAGCCATACTGAATCGTGTGCTGTTTGCAGAGCAGAGGAACAGCGGCTCCGGCGGTGGAGCGGTGATTGCCGAGCAAGTGCTAGCAATCATGGAGATTGTACTGCAGGAGGCTAACAATGAACCCCTACAAGAGGCCAAGGTAATTGTGATTACTTGTTGGATATTGGTCTTATTTTATTCTTACCTTATTTTAACTTATCTTAAAAATAATGGAAAATTTTCATATTATTGGGAGGAGACAATTTTTCATCAGAAAGGTACAACTCGCAATATAAAACGTTACTGAACATGAAACGTTACTGAACACAAGACTAAATAGTTTTATTTATGTCATTCATCATCTATAAAGAATTTATTTTTGTTAAATTTCAAATGAGACTCATCAATGAAGTAATATCATTTATGCTTTAAATTGCACCGTGTTTCTCAGGAGTCTGTAAACCTGACATGTGATAAGGCGCAGTTGGTGGCGCTACTGGACCGAGTCAACAGTTCATTTGTGCGTTCCAATGCAAACGTGCTTCAAGGTCTGATGCGCATCATTCCGTTCTTATCGTTCGGGGACAACGACAAGATGGCAACTCTCATCAATCACTTCAAACCATACTTGAACTTTGAAAAGTAAGCTCACATTCAGTTTTCTGAGACAGAATATTCTTAGGCCCTAAGACTATCAAATTTTGTTTGACAAAAACATGTGACATACCTAAATATGGTCATGATGACATCACATCATGGCCATATATAGGCACATCATTACTTTATATGAGCATACAAGGGTGTTTGTCAAAGAAAATTTGATAATGTGGACAGTGCTTTACATTTAACTAAACTTGACAATAATAAATCTGCTAAATTGTCAACAGAATTTCTTGCTAGTGGATTACAAATGACCTTTGAATCTGTTGACCGGTGAATAGAATATGTATGTACATCTCGTACACCATACCTTGTGGCAATCAATATATTTTAAAAACCCAACAAATCTAAAGAATGATGAGGAAAAATAAAATGGGGACAGTGCTTTCAAATAATTGTTTGTTGTTGACAGAGGGCAGCATATTAAGATTTAGTTTCTTTTTGTATGCTTAGGTTTGATGAAGAGCAGGCCCAAGATCATGTTGTACATCTCCAAAGCTTCTGTGTAATTGCTGCAGGAATTGAGGTAAGCTGTAGACCTGCTTAAAATATCTGGCCTAGCAGCTACAAGCAATTTATTCTCTCAACTAGATTGAACTTTTAGTGCTCTGGTGCTCAATTCACTTGTGTCCTTAGGCTAATGCTTTTTTCTTTTAATCAGTGTGTCTGAGAGATGCTCTGTTGTAGCCAATCCGGGCATAAACATGCTATCTTTTTTAACTGCAGCTAGTTTATGCAGTACAATCAATGAACTGTTTTCGTCTGTTGGTTGCTCAGTATCTTTATGGGTGTTTTTAAATTTACATTTACATTTTCCACATGAAGCTTCCTTTAAATCGAATAATTTCTGTTCACTTTTTTTTTATGATGATTAGAGCAATAACAGTGGCAACAACCTAAAAGATCTAATAATCGAACAAGGAATCGTGAAAAGCGCCACTGATTACATCATCAACAAAATGCCAGAGGCCAGCAACACAGATTCTGCTGCCTGGAAGGAGTTTCTCGCAAGACCTTCTTTGCCTTACGTGCTGCGTCTGCTGGCCGGGCTCAGTACAGGGCATACTAGGACACAGGAGTTGGTTGGTGCTGAGTGTATCCCAGGCATGCACCGTATGGAACAGATGTCAAGCGAGGAGGGAATAGGAACACTGTCAGAGAATCTAATGGAAGCTCTGAAAAAGAATCCCAATGTTGCTAAGAAGGTAATGTTTTATTTGAAGCTTTGCACAGTGAAGTAGCAATACTAATACTAATTGTAGAAATAATAATAAAAATGAACATACTGCATTTGGTACACCACCTAAATCACTTTAAAAAGATCTGTTTTTGTTGAAAGTGTTTCTTCAATACTATTCTCTAAGTGTTTTTTTAACATCATCAATGATTCATTGTGCATAAAAACAAAACAATTACATTTTATAATTTGTCAGATATATGATATTAATATAATAATGCAGTATTTGAAATCTTATTCTGAGGCACAGGACTGTATTGTTCAATGCTCAACATGGATGACAAAAACAATACTGTTCTTTTTTTGTCTGATAGATTGAGGAAGTTAGGGCCCAGACGAAGGCAGAGAAGAAGCGACTAGCCATGGCGATGCGTATGAAACAGCTTGGAGCTCTAGGCATGTCTGTAAGTAATTCAATTTAAAGAATCATAGATCTAGATATAACAATTAATACTTATATAATTTTTGTTAAAAATGTTTTCCCCTGTGCTTAAAACTGTAGTTTCTTTGTCAATTTTTTTAGAAATAATTGATTGCAAAATGTTACAGTGGTACTATACCTTATTTTCATAATGTTCAGTTCACTACGGTAAAATATGTCATATAATATTCATTTTATATTATTTAAATTTTATGATTAAATATGAATAAAACATCATTTCTGTTGTCTTTATATTCTTCTGATGATTTATAATTGCTCCTACTATTGTTGTAGACAAATGAGCGTGGACAGGTGACTGCGAAGAGCCTGCTAACAAAGCAGATGGAAGAACTTGTAGAAGAGACAGGCCTAACATGCTGTATATGTCGTGAAGGCTATAAATACCAACCAAATAAAGTAAGTACTACAACTGCCATGATACTTTGAATGAATCATTTATTGTTTGCATAACATTCAAACAATAATTCCATCCTAGAATCATATTTGGATTAGTTGTGGTAAATCATTTTTTTTTTGGGGTCCTCATTATCATCAAGTTCAACTCTCATTAAAATCATCAGCCAAAAAAATCATCAAATATTGATCATCATTAAAAAAAATCATCAGCATAAAAAATCATCAAATATTGATCATCATTAAAAACATCATCAATAAAGATATATTCAAAATTACAATGGTTTTATTTTTTGTAAACTTTTTTGTTTTTTTCAATTCAAGGTGTTAGTAATCTATACCTTTACAAAGCGGGTCCCAGTTGAGGAATTTGAGAATAAACCACGCAAGACACAGGGATACAGCACAGTGTCACACTTTAACATCATTCACTATGACTGCCACATGTCCGCAGTAAGGTAAGCTCAAGTTATAAACCTGCCAACCACTGATCAATATTAAATACAATTAGTATAATTATATTATATATTATATTTTTATTATATTATATTATTACTATTAGTCTTACTTTTATTAGTTTCAGTAAAATTAATAATATTGGTAGTATAGTATAATTGTTATTTTTGCTGTAACTATTGTTTTTACTGCTGATGCTAAAACTTTTAGTTATGTGTCTGTTTATTCATATGCAGCATGCTTTGATTAAATTTGTATTATCGCAAGATTTTTAGCATTCGTGATAATGCGATGTCTGAAAATATACAGTTTCATGTTTGCCTCACACAGACTGGCGCGTGCTAGAGAGGAGTGGGAAAGTGCAGCCCTGCAGAATGCCAACACCAAGTGCAATGGACTACTACCCCTATGGGGCCCTAATGTACCGGAATCAGCTTTTGCCAACTGCCTAGCCAGGTACAATATATGTGATATCAAACAATTTTAATTATTTTTTTGGGGCATGTCAATTTCATCCATTGATGATATCATAAGTGAAAATATGATTTGAAGAATACATGCTCTTAAAATAGTATTATGCTTATATTGGTTAAATTTGAATGAGTCTCAATGGTGATGAGGGTGATAAAAATGTTATAGTCAATAGATATGACACTTGCAAAGCAAAGAATGGAGCATTGAATTTTCTTAAATTTAGAAAGGAAAGTAACATGGGTTTTTTTGAACATCTTAAGTTAAATTATTTATTAAATATTAAATTATTTTTCATTATTACAATGAGGAAATGCTATTTGTTCTGTTTTTATGAACAGACATATATCAAGTTATTATCTGTATCTTTTATCCTTAGGCATAATACATATCTACAAGAATGCACTGGACATCGTGAACCAACCCAGCATGGCACACTACATGACCTGAAGCTTCTAATGTTGCGCTTTGCCCGCGAGAAATCATTTAGCGATGACAGTGGAGGAGGAGGCCGTCAGAGCAACGTCCATCTGGTACCGTACATGATTCACATGGCGTTGTATGTCATCAATACGTAAGTATCACTCATGCATTATCTGTTCCTGCACTTGTCTATTTATCTTGTCATTTATATATTCATATTTTACATTGCCTTGTTATAATCTTTACTATTCAGTTTCAATTGAAGCTAGAGCTGAACTGTTGCTTTGTAATTAAGGTGCTTGTCTTTCAACCCCAGGGTCCTGGGTTCAATTCCTGTCAGTGTTACAGCACTGTTTGTCATGACCAAAATAAATCCATTCCCTCATCCTCATAATGAGACTTTATGTAGAGCATCATTATATTATGTGTTTGTCTTTTGTAAATGATTGCCTCTAATCAAATAAGGCACAAGTTTAAAAATATTAAACGTTTTATAGAATCATTATATATTTTACAGATGCTGGTCTATGCAGATTTTCCTAATGGTTGACAAATGGATTTGATAAATAATACCTTCTTTTCATTATTAACCAAATTAATAATTGTGAGAAATAATGATTTTTTTTTATTATTTACCAAAGGACCAGATCTGGGACTCGTGAATCGAAAAATCTGAGTACCTTCTTAAAACAAGGAAAGGAGAAGTGGGTGGAGTCAAGCTATGAGGTGGATGGACCCCACTACTTCACACTGTTGGCATCCATGATCCTCTCACAGGTGGAATGGAAGGCAGAGCGTGTAACCTGCTTACGTCGTCTCATCATCACTGGACAGGCACGTCTAGTTTCTCCTGGAGGTTGCAAAACGTAATTTTATTTTTTCAATTTATACTTGCATACCACTATTTAAATAGGTACCAGTAAACCTTGACACTCTCATGATATATATTATTCATGTTTAGATAATTCATCCTTCTAGTTATAAATGCCAGCGTTGGGTTTTATTGGAGTTTTATTTTGAGTCGATTGCCTGGCTCCTCGAATAACCCTCATATTGACAGTTAAGGACAATGTTTCTATCCGTATGTGTCTGCTGTGTGCTGTAGTTAAGTTGGGAGGCGCTGCGCAGCGGCTGCCCAGGCCAAATTTCCGATTTCCTATAAGAATGAGGACAAAAAAGAATGTAAAAAAAAAAAAAAACTGAGCTTCCCATCCTGATATTTGATGAGCTGGAAGCTGCATTGATTTACAACAGTTAATTAGGAGTACTTCATGATTGTTATTATATGCTCTTAAAGCTAAAACTAAGGAACAACAGTTTACATAACCGTCATCATTGGTTTATCTGTTATCTGCTTGTCGTTAAAAGACAATTGAACTGCTTTCATTCATAACCACATATAATATGCTTACAAGTCACAAAGCAATGGATTAAGGCTTACCACCAATCTTTATGTTTTTTTTAATTTTAGAATCTCTGACAAAGCGGTAAAGGACTTCTCTGTGTATAAGTCTTACATAATGTACTGGGCCCTGATCAACTGCTTCTATACAATCCTCTTTAAGAAGGTCACCATCTCGTCTGGAGACAACTGGTCATCATCTGTGGCTGATTACATTCGTAACAATGATGAAACTGTTCTAAAGGCAGCTGATAGGGTAAATATGTATACTTATAAATATTTTCCTTTCAGATATCAGATCAATATGTGATTTGCCAATATATTTGCATGATAATTTCATATTACCAAAAGAAAACCCACCCCCCCCCAAATGGGGAAAAATAGGATTTTCACCTATCATTAAAGGCCTTCATAGGCTGCCAATAAGTGAACGTTTAAATTCCAAAATGATTCTTCTCACTGATAAATGCTTACATGCTACATATTTCTTTGTTCATCCATCTCACAACAAATACCTTTACGTTCCTCAAGGCAGTCAAACGGTTTCAGGTTATCTGTTGCTAGAATGTTGTATGTCCGAACTAGCAAACATTCTTTTTCTTTTGCCACACCGAAAAATTTCTTCCACCGAAACTTAGATTAATTTCTATACTGATGCATTCTTATAATATTTTTAAGCGCCAGTGGCAAATAATATTTGTAACAGGCACCATACAAATACTCCAATTTATTTATTTATAATTATTTATGGGCATATCACATTATTTTTCACATAAACTTTTATAGTGTAGCCAGAGCTTTATTCAAATCATAATTGTCTTCAATGTACACTTGTTCTGCCCTAAACATTCTAACCTATTTATTTTTCACAAATTTATATGCTTTGTCTGCTTTCTTACAGTTGCTATCCACTTATGAGGATGACCTTCTACCTTGTGAGTCATTCGCTGAATTCTGTGAGGTTAATGGTGAGTTGAAAGTTTACTGGATAATATTTTGTTAACCTAATATGTTATCGTACGGATTACTCATTATTTCCTTAAAAGCTTGTTTAAAATATCAGCTGATTTGGGTGGGAACCAAATCAAGGGTTAGTGGCCTGGTATCATCGTGGAATGATGTGAACATGTAGCTACTATAAACACAATGATGTTAAGCTTGTGCTATTGGCGTGGGTTGGATTTTGTACCAAATTATCAGCGGGTAATGCAATGATAATACAAAAGGAATTTGCTTTAAACAGTTAAATTAAATTTTTATTTAAGTTCCTCTTCTATATTTTGTCACATTCTTCATTTACAAAACATTTGTCAGCTCCTAATAATTTTTCCAATAATTTTTTTACAGGTTTGCTAGGTGATATCTCCAACCCAGATGCATTTATCCTGGAAACCTTAAAATCACTTTAAATCAACTTAAGTTGTTTTGCTGTTAAAATTAATACACTAAAGGTCTAAAACCAATTACTGTAGTATGTTGTGGTGTAATACACCTGTAGTCTATCGAAATAAAAAATAAATAAATAAAACTATTATGGGAAGCTTATTGCAGCCTGTTTAATTATTACCGAATAACAGAAAAAATTAATTAACAGTTTTCCCATCACATTGTCTAAATTAAATTTCATGTAAGATGAAATGTTTTCTAACATGAATGTCATAAACTTACTTTATATCCAATTATTTTAATTCTAGTGTTTTAAATTCTGATAGAAAATTGAAAAAAATATTTGAACTGTGTGAAGAATAATGTTCTCTTTCTCCTGTTTCTGACTTCCATATTAGTTGGTTGAGACGACATATTATACAACATGCAGTTATTGTTGAATAGCTTCATACATGAATATATAAAGTTAACCCATTTTTAAATTTAGCATTGTCAACCAAGAAGCTTGATTATAGAGATAATGTATTTCGTTTTGTTTTAGGAATTGTGATAACTTTCATTTTGAATAAGTAAAAGTAACCATATAGTCTGCTGTTCATTCATCTTGTTATATTACTGGCATAAAAAAAAGCCTTAAATATCAAATAATAAATCAGTAAATACTTGTGAGCCACAAGCCCGAATTTAAACATTTCAAGTAGCGCATTATGTGCACAGTATAGACGTATGTGACGTCATAAGTCCCATCTATGTTTAGTCTCTATCTTTCCTATCTTGCATGAAATCTTCAATAAAATCTATCCATTAAAAAGGTGTTTTCTTTGTTGTCATTTGTGTTTAAACTGTAACTTCTCCCATGCCTATATAGGCTTTTTTATCTCTATCGTAAAAACCTCATAAAAGTTTCAACAATGCGACAGACGAAATAGTGTCAGTTCATTTATTTTAATCTATGATTCATAATACAAGAAAACAATGTTCGGCAAAATCATTTCAGTTTATAATTACGAAATCTTAATTTTAAATGTCAAAATAATAATTGACATGCTTCATAATTTGTCCAAGAGCTCAAACTGCATTTGATGCAGTTGCTTATGATGATAAATCGCTTTCTGCTTGCTTGCATTTGGTGTTGATTTTCCCAGTAATTATTGGATAAATGACCAGACACAGACCAGACACAATGAATGCAATGCCACCTACACCAAACACAACGCCGTAGTTTCCGGAAATATCATATAAAGCACCTAGTGGTAGATAAAAGAAATGGGAAGTATGAAATATCACACGATGATCAGAAAAGATATTTTGCATATCATTATTATAAGTTGTGGTGATGTAATGATGATGATGATGATGAAATTGTGATGAAACCAGGGACGTAGCCAAGATTTTGAAAGGGGGGAGCCATTATGCGAATTACGTATGACCCCGGCGGGGTCAAGGGGGCGAATCCCCCTGTGAAGTAGCACACTCTGAACGTTCTTAGGACTGTTTGAGAGGATAAAGTGAATATAATAAATCAACAGTGGCAGATCCAGGAATTCGAAAGAGAGGTGAACCTGGGAGGGACTTTCACAGACCGAGGAACCACCAACCTCAACCCCACCAAGGTTGGGGCTGAGGTAACAAAAAATTATGATTAGGGCATCTTTAGATGACCGGAAATTATACTCTCGCACTTCAATTTGAATATATTTTTCCTTTTTTTTCCTTAAAAAAATGAAGGGGGGTGCCTTGAATCCACCTCTGCTCAAAACATTCTTTATCCAGAATAGTCATAATCATGAAAAACCAGATCACATCCTAAAAACAAACAGCAGTCACTAACACATACATCAGGAGCCGACTCGATTGAGTTTAATGTCATACCCAGGGAAGGGCACAGATCTGTTTTGAAAGGTGGAGGAGGAGGGAATTTTGTAAGCCGACACCCACCCCAGCCCCACAATGGTTGGAGCTGAGGTGAGAAAATTTGAGGAAATAGTACCTCTAGATGGCCAGAAATGACACTTTTAGTAAAATTCATCATCATCACATCACCATTAGTCAAAATGAAGCGCCAAAAGAAATTCTCATGATATTTTATCAGGGATTTTTGACAACCATAGAGATCTTATTAATGTGTGTGTATACACCATAGAAAACATTGTCTTTGAGTATGTACTTTACATAGGCCTACTTCAAAAACGTGATTTCATAACCACCTCAGCCCCACCATGGCTGGGGCTGAGGTGAGAAAATTTGAGGAAATAGTACCTCTCGAGATGGCCGGAAATGACATTTTTATATAATAAAATTCATCATCATCACATTACCATTATAGTCAAAATGAAACGCCAAAAAATTTCTCATGATCTTTTATCAGGAATCTACTTAATATCCAGGACAACTTAGGCCTAATTATAGCTTACTACGCTTTAACTATATATACTATAGTATTATCAACAAATCACAACTTTTTTTTCGCATTTAGCACAATTTTCTTCACTTTTTATTGCTATTAATATTATTATCAATTATTACTATCGTCATTATCATCATTGTTATTATTACTAGTAGAAGTAGTATTATTAAACAAACATGATCTTTTATCAGGGTTTTTTGACAACCATAGAGATCTTATTCTTATTAATTTGTGTGTGATATACCATAGGAAAAAAAAAACATAGAAAAAAAGGTTAAAAACATTGTCTGTGAGTATGCACTTTACATAGGGCTACTTCAAAAACGTGATTTCACAACCACCTCAGCCCCACCATGGCTGGGGCTGATGTGAGAAATTTTGAGGAAATAGTACCTCTCGAAATGGCCGGAAATGACACTTTTATATAGTAAAATTCATTATCATTACCATTATAGTCAAAGTGAAACGCCAACAAATTTCTCATGCTCTTTTATCAGGGATCTACTTAATATCCAGGACAACTTAGGCCTAATTATAGCTTACTAAGCTTTAACTATAATAAAGTCGGATCAACGAATCAAAACTTTCTTTTTTTGTCTTTAGCACGATTTTCTTCACTTTTTAATGTTGGTAATATTACTATCTATTATCATTATCACCATCGCCATCATCGTCATCATTATAAAAGCTTGCAAAATAATAAAAACCAAATTGAACCTTACAATTGTAGGCCTATCACATTTCTGTATCTTGAAAAGACCTGGCATGGGATTTATCGATTTAAGATGATCCCAGGAAAGAATTTGTATTGGCTAGCAAGAACAAGCTTTAAAATTATAACACTGTGTACAAAGGTAGGTGCGGCTCCCCCTCCCCTCCCTGGATACATCCCTGGGACA